AGCGAGAGGAAGGGGGTCGAAACATTTTCACCCACCCGACAGAACTCGCTCATTACTCCAAGCGTCCCACCTCTGCAACTTTCCAACAGAAGGATCGCAAGAACTTGTACTGCGATCATTGCAAGCGAAGTGGTCACTCCAAAGAGAGATGTTGGATACTAAATTCCCATCTGAAACCTGCAAGGTATCGTGACAATGCTAGCTCCTCATCTCGAGCTTCTGCGATGACAGCCACTGCTTCGGTTACTTCTGGTGACACTGCGGTTATGTTCACACCAGAAGAACTCAGGGGCTTCAAACAACTGTTAATCGCCATGAACACCAAAGATAACGGTACACTTTCTCCTCTATCCCCTGTTCTTATCGACTCCGGTGCCTCCACGCATATGTTTGCAGATGCTCGCTGGTTCGAATCTGTTAAACCTTGCAGTGGGGTAGTCTCGGTTGCTAACGGCCAGAATGTTCCTATCAAAGGACATGGCTCATTTACTCTTTTCGGCAGAACACTCTCTGGACTATATGTTCCTGAGTTCCAAGCTAATCTTCTTTCCATCTCCAAATTACTTACACAAATCTCTTGCTGCGTTATTTTCCGATCTAACCTTGTTGAGTTTCAGGATATTAACACACTAGAGATCATTGGCAGAGGACACTCAGTTGGCAATCTGTTCTACCTTGACGACCCGATTTCCAGTTTCCATTCTGTTTCTTCGGATATTTGGCATGATCGATTGGGGCATCCCCATTCGAAAGTGCTTCATTTGCTTATTCCAGATTACAAACCAGTTAGTTCCATTTGTGAGGCTTGTACTCTTGGAAAACACGTTTGGTCTGTTTTTCCCGTTTCTTCTACCGTTTATGACAATATTTTTGATCTCGTGCACTCCGATGTATGGACTGCTCCGTGTTTTTCTAGAGATAATTACAAATATTTCGTGACCTTCATTGATGAAAAATCAAAGTTCACTTGGCTCACACCATTGCAGAAGAAAAGCGGTCTTTCTGGCTTTTCAGAATTTTGTTGCATACGTCACTAACCAATTTGGCAGCACTATTAAGGCTTTCCGTACAGACAATGGTGGCGAATATCTCAGTACCGCTTTCCGACAGTTTCTTCTACACAAAGGGATCGTGCATCAACGTTCTTGCCCGAAAACTCCGCAACAAAATGGGGTTGCCGAGCGTAAAAACCGACACCTCATGGAAGTCACTCAAACGTTGCTATTTCATCGTCAAGTCCCGAAGAGATACTGGTCTGATGCGGTTAAAACAGCTTGTTACCTGATTAATAGGCTGCCAACACAAGTCCTCAAAGATCACTCACCTTATGAGGTATTATTTCAAACCAAACCCACTTTGGATCATTTAAAAGTTTTTGGTTGTGTTTGCTTTGTCCGTGTACATGAAACAGACAGGGACAAGCTCGACGCTCGGAGTATTCGCTGTGTATTCTTGGGGTATCCCCCTGATACGAAAGGGTACCTTTGCTACGACCCTCAGAGCAACCGTGTTCACACTTCCCGTGATGTACGATTTGTCGAAGAAGTTAGCTACTTCGACAAACAAGACTGGTCTGTCTTGGACAATATCGTTCATAGAGGTACATATTCGAATGAATATCTTTTGCAATATCTAACCTCTCTACAGAACCTTAGCAATCGGCCAGACACACAACAAATCTCCTCTCTACCTCCTGCGATGTCTGATCCACATTCGAGTGCCACTCCAAATCAGGTTCTCTCTCTTCCTTCGGTTCCTGGTGAATCTTTCTCGCAGGTGGCCTCCATCCCAGCTGCTCCCCTCGCACATGATTCACTGGACACCTCGAATACGTCTGCGGATTCTGACGACGACACTTCTTCCTCTGTTTCTCCCGCGTTCCCAGTTGAGGGGGAAACTAGCGTGAGCAGAGTTCGTCCCGAGGTGCCGCTCCTCTCCATTGCAACACAACCAGATCCCGAGTTCACCACCTCTGCTCCTGATTCGAATGAGCCCATACGACGTAGTTCACGCCCTCGTCAGCCATCAGTTCGTTTACATCCAGACACTTGGGTCCTTGGTACTCAGGTTCCAAAAAGTCACCACACGGTGATGTATCCCATCGAAGATTACTCATCTCTTTCCTGTTTTTTGACTACTGATCAAAGTTTTCTGAGTAGCATTATGCAGGCCTCGGAACCTCAGACTTATTCACAGGCTAAGACCATTCCGGTATGGCAACAAGCTATGCGAGACGAGATCGACGCCCTTGAACATAACGGCACCTGGACTATCACGGAGTTACCACCGGACAAACGCGTTGTGGGCTGCAAATGGATCTACAAGATCAAATATCACAGCACTGGAGAGATAGAACGCCATAAAGCACGCCTCGTCGCCAAAGGATATACTCAGACGTTTGGCGAGGATTACACCGAAACTTTCGCCCCCGTAGCTAAGTTATCTTCTGTTCGTGTTATCCTTTCATTAGCGACTAACTTAGATTGGGAGTTGTGGCAGATGGACATGAAAAACGCGTTTCTACAAGGCGATCTCGAAGAAGAAATTTATATGGAACCACCTCCGGGCTATCATCGGGATATACAACCCGGCCAAGTGTGTCGTCTACACAAATCAATTTACGGTCTCAAACAATCACCCCGTGCTTGGTATCATAAACTTTCACTTGCAATCATAGCACGCGGTTTCAATCGGAGCAACTCCGATCATTCCCTCTTTATTTCACATACCGCGGTTGGCATTGTTCTCCTCATTGTGTACGTTGACGATATTATAATTGCAGGAAACGATCCAATTGGTATCAAAGAAACTAAGGCGTACTTGACGTCGGTGTTTGATATCAAAGACTTGGGCAACTTAAAATATTTTCTTGGGATTGAAGTAACCCGCGGCACTAATTCCTTATTTCTCTCCCAAAGAAAGTACATTCTTGATTTATTACAGGATACAGGAATGCTAGCATGCAAACCCGTCCGAACTCCGCTCGAAGAACACTTTAAGGATCAACGCGAGGGGGAATCACTGGAAGACTCAGAGCAATATCGTCGCGTTGTTGGTAAGTTAACCTATTTAACGATTACTCGACCTGACTTAAGCTTTGCTGTGCATCAGGTCAGTCAATGGATGCATGCGCCAACAACAACCCACTGGCTAATGGTGACTCGGATACTCAAATACCTCAAAGGAACGCCAAACAAAGGAGTCTGGATGACAAAGAATCGACACACGGAAATCGTAGCGTACTGCGATGCAGACTGGGCAGGCGACAGAACGGATCGGAAGTCAACCACGGGATATTGCACCTTTGTCGGCGGCAACTTGGTCACATGGAAAAGCAAGAAGCAAACAGTCGTCGCTCGATCAAGTGCTGAAGCAGAATATCGTGCAATGGCCAACACTGCAAGCGAAATCATGTGGTTGCGACAGTTACTTGACGACCTCGGAATCAAGCTAGACGGACCGACCACCTTACACTGCGACAACCAAGCCGCATTACACATAGCGGCAAATTCGGTGTTCCACGAAAGGACGAAGCATATAGAAGTGGATTGCCACTTCATTCGGGAGAAGATAACTCAGGGACTAATATCGACAAAATACACTCGGAGCCAAGACCAATTAGCTGACGTACTAACCAAGGCAACGAGCTCATTTGTCTTAAGTAATTGTCTCTCCAAGATTGGCCTCGTCAACTATTCCCGGCCAATCTTGAGGGGGAATGTTGAAGACCCGAAGACTGAGCAAGAATCACACGAGATGAGCACCATCACACGACTGGAGACATTTACGGATCAAGACAGAGAATGAAGAAAGGAAACACACCAAGACATCCCAAGACATACTGCAGAATCTTATCAGAACAGGAAACTTGCTTCTACAACGGAGAAACTTGCTAATTCATATTCTACAATATATATTCTTACCTTAATTGTAAACATATATGCTGTATATATGAAAGCTTGTGTACGTACAGGAAAATAAGGGGAATGAAAGAGTTCTTTAATCAAACTCTCTCCCTAACATTTCTCAAACCTACAGTGAATCTCTGTTGCTTTGATCAATTGTCTGTTCTCCATAGATTTCTTCAATACATAGCATGCTCGTTGTGTTGTTCTCTACGTATGAATGAAGTTATACATGCATGATAAATGTACATATAATGATCGATAGTTTACCTGTGCACATTGATGGCGCGTGTTCTTCCAATCAATTTCGCTGTAAGGCCGGGTATAGAGTTCGTCTTGAAGTTGTAGAATGATAGGAGTTGGGGATGCAACAAATCTTTTCCCGTACAAGTATGACAAGGGCATGAAAATCATCCGAGAATATATCCAAAGGGTACCTAATATAATTTTGTTTTTCCGAAGGCGTTTCTTAGAAATAGAAGGAAACCATTATACTTACTCCCTTAATGAATCTAGTAATGTCACAGAAAGGAGTGGAACCTCCATTGATAGGGCAAAAAGAAGGAAGCATCCAGAACTCGGGTGGCATCGGTTTGCAACCAGACCAGTCATATAATCCAAGGATCTACAAGAATAGAAAAATGTTGTATAACTTGTTAAAGATGATTCCCCTATTCTTCGTAATATATCTCAAATTCTACGCACCGAAAGCCAAGCTTTTCCTAGCAAAGGCGTAAATGTAGCGCCCCCGTGGTCAAGAATCCACTTACGAGCCCATTCACAAGCGTTTTCTTTACCACCATCACCCCCTTCTCCGAGGATTCGTAGGCATACGTAGTTGAGAACAGTACAAAACATAACACTATGGCTCTCTACATGTAGACCCCAACCACTATCTTCGTTCTACAATGAATATATCAATCATATGACATACATACATACATATGTATATATATGAAGCAAGATTTCAAATAGATGATTATGTAATGCTTCATTTGCATACAAGTACCTGATGAGTATATATGTAACGTAGAATCTCTTTGCGATGGTTACCAGAGAAGATGGTATCCAGATGTCCAGTGATGTACAAGCAAATGACTTGTAGATTTTCATTGAAATTGTTATACTTTGGAAAATGTAGAAACAATTAAATTGTATTTGTTTACATATAGGCTCACAAATGGCGGGAGGAAGAACAGAGGCCCTGCATTTTCTGCGGGCCAATGTCCATCATCAGCCTGCAAGGCTGAAAAATAGTGAACCCCTCTTGTAAGTGCAGCCTTTGCTACTTTGGGAATCTTCTGTTTAATATTTTTCTCCCGCAGAAACTGTAAGATCTCGATCATATGAGGGATAAAAGATGTTTATACAGATATATATATATACACACACGTCATCACATAGTCAACACTTCATCACCTGTAGGCGCCATATGAGATCGGAGCTAGCTTTGACACGAGCTCGTCTCTGGGAGAAGTTTCGACGAGCTTCTTCAACCTCGTCGAGCTCCTCCTGAGATCTTACGTCAGGATCGAACTCCCAAATTTGCCTCCCGACATAGTCGTTTGTGCTGTGCAAGTAACCGTCGTCTCCTCCCTTTCCAACCCTAAGCCTCCACATTTCCTCCTTCCAGCTCCTAAACAAAATGCTAAATTATATATATAGATATAATATATATCTATGTGCAACGATATGCAGTAGCCATTTTATATGTGAGCGACACGGATACAACACGTTTCTGTTTCACCATCCCGTTATGACACATTTTATGCCGTGCATGTGTGCGTATATATGTAGAGCTTTATCGTAAATGAGTTTAAGAAACAAAAGAAAGAGGTCAAGATATATATTGAAATTGATTTTTTTTTTATATACATATTTTGACTCAATTGAGTAAAATAATAAAAGAATTTAACGTTCGAATTTCATAAAAGAAATTGAATACCGAATGGTTGCTCAAACTTAATATACAAAAACAAAAAAATAGTTCGAACCAAAAGTTAAAAGGATAAATTCGAACATCAGACACAATATATTATACATTGAAAATACCACAAAAAAATGTATAAAAACTAATATTATATTTTTTTATATTCAAAATTTTATCGAATTTTTGATTTAACTATATCTTTCAAAAGATTGGAGAAATTCTATATTAATATTTCCTTCAAGTGAATATTGGAGAAATTCTATATTAATATTTCCTTCAAGTGAATGTTTAATCTAAATTGAAAAAGAGTTTTATCCAACATCTAACCATCTCAACCAATTACTATCCTGAATTAAAAATTAATATTCTAATATATATATATACACACATGAAAACTTGTTTAAAAAATTAGATGTGTGGACATATCAATCAGTGGATGCGTGCAATTTTTTTTTTTCAGACAACGTAATAATATTCCTCCCGTTTTTTAATAGATGTCGTTTTACAAAATATTTTTTTATTACTAATTACAATTCGTTTTAGAACTTTTAGGTGATTTATAAGAAAAATTACAATTTTATCCTTAATTAAAAAATGAACTTCAATAAAAATGAATGAAAATATAATTTAATAGGGGTATATATAATTTTTTTTATATTTGCTTGATAATTGTGAAAAAATCTAAAACACATCCTTCTAAGAAAGAGGAAAGTAAAAAATAATAATAATAATAATAATAATAATACCAAGTGCCAAGAACAGAAAAGAACAGAAGATAATTGAACAGCAGACTTGGATGGCTCCAAACTGATTAATGGAAAAAATACTGATTATAAAGAAATCACAAATTAATAACAACTATCTTTCCCTAATTTTATTACTAGTAGCATAAACAGCATATATTAACTTAAGTATTCATAGAAATTCGCATTCATTCGATAAATTTTTTAACGTAGTTGATTGAGACTAAAAGTCTTACTTGTAATCAAGTCGTTACTTTATTCTAGAGAATTTGAAAACTTCTCATGTAAAGGCAAAGTGCAATTGAATGATTATTTGGAGCCATTTGGACATAAACAAGGCCATATCCAAGGTTATAAGAAGTTGTGAGATAAAGATTAAAGATTGATAGAATTATTCAGTTGATTACTTTGAAGAGATCTATGGATTCGAGTCCCTCCCCTTTTTTTAAAGAACTTGATTTTCTCATATTCCCAAATGGTTCAGCCGAGTCAAATACAACTCAGAACGAGTTATTTCTTTGAGCAAAATTGAATTTTCTTATCTAAGTGACTCGCTCGTGTCACTTACAACTCGATCCGAATATCCCTTGACTTTAATTCGGTCCGAGTAACCCTAAATCTCAAAATTCACACATTTACTTATTCAACCCTGTTGTGTGTAACCATATATGCATTCGCAGTAGTAACAGTCCTGAAATCACATTTCGGTATATAAATTATAGTTAGCCTCTAGTAAATCAATTATCCACTTTGAATTGAGTAAGATGTGATCTAATTTAAGCCCGATAATGGTTCAAACTTTAATCTTTTTTTCTGATGATATCATATGTTGAATATATGGATAATGTTAGTTGCTTCCTTCTTGCACAAGATTCTCCAAGCTCAGTCAATCTTTATTGGTATAATATCTTGTTTCCTCTAGAAATTTGATGTCTTTTGAAGTGAAAATGTGACGAGTTAAAAGTATCATAACAAATGTACCCTTTTTGGTTCATAGGATATCCGACAAATATACATCTCGTACTCCTTTGGTCCAATTTATTTCTTTGGACGTCCGAACTAACACAAAACACATACATTTTAAAAGTAAAAACACGTAAGTGGTCAAGAGATGATTTGTGATTATAGAGTAGCTTGAATGAAGATTTATCATTAAATACTTATGTCGGGAGCCTATTAATGAGAAAACAGATTATCTTGAGGGCATCGCTCCAAAATATCTTCACTACCTTCTGTTGGTTTAGGTGCTCTATACGTTGCTTTACAATATGAGTACCGTGACATTTTGTATGAATAGATTCATGATTTTGGTTAAGTGAATGAGTGTCTTTCTCTTTATCCGTTTTGCATATTTGATGAAATAAGGAAATCCTTGGTTCGTTATGGGAATGATAATATATTAAGATATTAAGACTAGAATGAGGTGTAATAGATGATCATGGATCACAGTCATGGGTACTGATTTGGAATGAAGTACCGAATGACTCGCATGAGATTGTTAGATGGACATGAGTCATGACTTGAATCTCATGTGATAGGTTCATGATTAGATACTTTGACCTGAGATGACTATGGTATCTGATATGAGGAGTGTTATACTTTGATTGCATCGAACGTCTTACGTAACAGGAAGATTATAATGGCGTCCTTTGGGTATGACAGGAATCATGTTACAGATAATAGATAGTCAATACGAAATTTGTATTGCTTGAGCCCCTCGAGTGAATTAAGACTGAGATGCGTGCAATCTGATGATAAGTTATCTGATGTTTCAATTAACTCAACGAACGAGAAAAGCAGTCGAATCTGATAAGATGGTTAGCTCCATGTCTTATGTTCGACATATGATATCGCGTTACAAAGGGATCATCATATGGATTATTACCGGCTTTCGTTAGATCAGGAGACTAACTCTATTCGAATTAGGTAGTTATAGTGTTTTGCTAGAGATCGCCTATGACTTATGATACGTGTGTACCGAGTCTAAAATCTATAACACGATTCACAACTCACCGCAAGGATACGGATCGTCGTAACACGAGGTCGAACACAATGACCGGTTGCTAAATCTAAACCCTAATCGAAACTAAATCAAAGCAAGCAAGTGAAAGTAATGGTGGAAGTATGTGGAATCTAAAATAACTAAAATAAGAAAGCAAATAAAAACGTGTAACTATCAAGCAAAGATGACCGTGCGTGTCGGGACCGTATTCGCGTGTATGGGTATATGCTAAGCATGCGAGAATCACGATATTGAATCTGTATTCGGGAATAGTCAAGCAACACAAATAGAGAAATCACCTCCCGGCATATAACTCACTATCTAAAGTTCTCTAAATCCATATCCCTATGTGATTTATCAAACTAGATGCATGAAGAACACTATCATCAATCCTAGATCGATCAAACCATATTCCTATGTGAATAATACGATCTATTCTATCGATTTCGATCCGAAACTAAACCCATATTCCTATGTAGTTCAGAATCTGAAATAATTGGCCAAGGGGACAGCAAACACCAATCGAATAAAGCACAAATCGATAAAACCGAAACAAATCCAAATCGCAACCAAGTTAGGGTTCAAACATACCCAAAACACAAACGAATCCCTAACCCACAGCCGTGGATCTACTCACGGTTCATAGAAAACAACAAAAAGCTCAAAAGAAAAGAGATAAAAGAGAGGAGAGAAAAGCTCATGTAGATGTGCAGTCTCCACGATCGAATCTTCCTTCTTCTTCCCGAAATCCCATGAACTTCTATTCTTCTCTCACCAAAAGCTCTCCAAAAGTCTGTATCTAAGTGTTCTCTAAGGCTCTCCTCTGTTCTAGGACGTGGTTAGGTCTATTTTATAACCTTAGGGCGGCTCCCAAGAGTTCTCCTTTCATTAGAACTCTAAAAATTGCGAATTAGGGTTTTTCTAGGTTTTGACTCGACCGAGTCAAAGTATTGACTCGGACCAAGTCAAGTCGGGCCCATCTGACTCGGACTCTTCACGAATTTGCTCATAACTTTCTGCTCCGGTGTCGGATTTACGCGATTTTGGTGTCTACGCGAAGCTCTTGAAGTGCTCTTTCCAATGGTACCAGTCTCGCATGATTTGGACTTCTGCAGAGAAAGTTATTGATGTCGCAACATGAGTATCTCATCCGGACTTCTCCTCTAATGCTCCAAATAACTCCTTTGTCCAATCATCTTCGAAACCTGTAACACTGCAAAACTAAAGCACAACCGGGTTTTGTATCCTAACAAGCCTAGAATGCCTATGAATGCATGTGATTATCTTATAAAACCTAGACAAGCTCTCATCAAAATATAGAGAAGAATAGGAGTTATCAACTTATATTACCGGAATGAAGATTATGCGTCTTATTTCTATTCCGGATGAGCCTACACGGTCACACACATAGGGAAGGACAAGTGCACGAGAAAGAGACGAATATCTCCGAGTCGCAAGAGTCCAGTCCGACCGGTCCACAGAGCAAATGTTGCGTTCAGATGGAAAAAGTTAACCTATACCGACCGGTCCACAGGCTGGACCGATCGGTACAGGCGTCGAGACATTCCTTCTCCTACTCTAACTAGGGTGTTTTGGAACCAAAATAAAAGGGCACGACCCTAGAGTTTTGATATGTCTCCTCAAACTTTTAGAGCAGATCTAAGAGTCCCAAAACCCGCTTCTGATTCCCTAAAACCCTGCGCATTATAGAGATCAAGATTTCTAGTCCTAACAGACGAGTTCCAACCGTTGGAATCCTTTCTGACATGTGGATACGTGTAGAGGGCTTGGTATATTTTCTGCCTTCTTGTGATCGACGATTCATTTGTGAGTGCAGGCCCCGGATCGTTTGAGGTTAGTGTTTCTTCTATAGATCTACAATCATGCATGTTCGTTTTAGGGTTTGTTTAGAAAAATTTTTGTTTTTCATTTTCCGTTGCATGAACCCTAGAACCGGATCTCTAGGATTATGAATTGCTAGTGAGATATCAGAAAACCCAACACTTTTTGTGAAACATGAGGTGTGAGCAACTTTCATTGGATACCTATTTTTACGTTCGGCTGCACCATTTTGTTGTGGCATGTGAGGACAAGATTTCAGGTGAATGATTCTATTTTGAAGTAGGTATTGTTGGAATGAATTACTTATCTATCTATTCTTCTCTATTATTTGTTCTTAAACATTTCATCTTAATATTAAATTCATTAGTGATAAGAGCAAAACTGTTTAAAGGTTTGAAAGATCACGTGCATTTGATTTTTTCATCTATAAACGTAACAAAATATTTGAAGTGATCGATCATGAAAAAAACGAAAAAAACAGTCTATAAATCCGAGTGAACTAAATCAAAAACATTTTCATAATGAGTTGTAGAAGTAGAAAAAATAACGTGTCAATGTTTACCAAGAATAAGAATACAAGCCTCACAAACTTGGCTACCATTATGCAATTTTCCTCTTGTACAAAGCAATAGAAGGGAAAGAAAAACAAACATGGTAACACGAATTCAAAATTGTATATAAAGCGATTAAACCAAAAACCAATTAAACCGCAAATAACCAAATCAAATCCATTGGCACATGTATTCTAATAGCGAAGAACAGGAACACACTTGAGTGGATGAGCCATGGTCAAGGTCATGCCTCCTACTTCTTCCATGTTGACCTTCTTCTCTCCCTCAATCACCCATTGAAAACATTGTACCATTGTTCCTATGGCCATTCCCATGGAAATATAAGCCAAGTCTTCACCTAGACATCTTCTTCCCCCCCCTCCGAAAGGAACATACTTGAGAACCCGTTCCTTGTTATCACTACCTTGCCTTGTTGTCCAAGAAATCAAGAACCTCTCTGGTCGAAACTCGTTTGGATCATCCCACGAATTTGGATCTCTCATTATCGCGTAAACATTAACGAGCAGTAACGCCTTCTCGTTCACATCAAACCCTCCAATCTTGCATGATTCTCTGCACGAAAGGGCCTGGTGGGTGTAGTCTCAGACCTTCGTTAATGACTGCCTGCAAGTACTGTAGCTTTGGAAGATCTGATTCTTGAATCAACCTTGAACGCCCAACAATGGAGTCGACTTCTTCTCTCACCTTTTTAAGAACGTCTGGATGGTTTATGAGCTCTGCCATTATCCACTCTGTCGCCATTGCCGACGTATCAGTGCCGGCAAGGAACATATCTTGCATATGCCACCCAGTTAGATACAACACACACACACATATATATATATATCACGCTCAAGAAGAGAATATATATACTTTACCACCAGAAATGCCTTTATATGGTCCCTTATGATCATGTACTCAGCCTTCTCGTCATGACAAGCTTCCAACAGAACATCCATTATCTCCGTTTGGTCTCTACCGGAGTTCTCTTCGTGTTCCCTGAGAATCTTCTTGGCCAACTCATCGTATCGACGGGAAATATCGTTTTCTTTGTCAAGCAATGAAATCCCGAATCTCTTGAGCGGACGGAGTATATGTCCTGAGATTAACTTCTCAACGACTGGCGGATGACTTTGAGATCAAGTCTCTTGCTTCATCAGCTTCACCATTCTCTTCAGAAAACCTCCTTCCAATCATCATCCTCGTTATGGTATTGCTCGAGAGCTTCTTCATCTCCTCTCTCAGTTCAATCACCTCTTTCCTCTTCGCCTTATCCAACAGACCCATGTAAAACCTCTCCAGTTCTTCCGCCCGAACAACGCGTGACCTCTTCAGATGTCGCTGTCTGAGCAATTCCCTCGTAGGGAGAGGTGGTGAATCCATTAGAGCCGAACAGTATCGAAGATTCGTCGTCGGTAGCGTCGTGGTTACGGGACGAGAGGTTCAGATCTTGGGTCCTGAAAGCTTGGTAAGCCGACGAGGCCGAGGAGATTATGATGACTGTGGTGTTAAAGACTCGGAGGGAGAGGACATGGCCGTATTTGGAGGAAAGCTTTTGGAGGAACTTGCACCATGGAAGAGAGAGAAGAAGGTGAATGTGGCTAACGAGCCATAGGATTGAAGGGCTTGGAGGCAGACTGGCGTTTGTGCTCTTTGGTTTCTTGAAGTAGAAAAATAAGAGGAACCATGTCAGGGCGAAGATGAAACGTAACTGCAGTTCCACGGTAATCATCGTTGTTTGCCTTTGTGATTATCAGCTTTTCCTCCTCTATTGATGTATACACATATATACACACACATATATGTGCTAAAGTATATATTGTGTGGTACAGTTTTATCAGACCTTCACGATCACTTTGAATATTTTAATATTACTGCAGGCTCAATCATTTCGGGTCTGCGATCTCCGTTTAAGATATTGAATCCAAATTCGTGAAGAAAAGAAAAAGTGGGTCCCGGTTACAAATAAAGAAACAGTCTTTATATATATATAAAATAAATATTATATTTTAATTATTAAAAGGTGTAATAATGAAGAGCTAACCACAAACCTTAATGACAATGCATTTAGATTTGGATCTTTTTAATATAGATATAAAGCGCTAAATTTTAAATTTATATACATATATGGTACGTATTATGTATATATGATTTTGTATGAATGTGATTATTGAAGGTTTTAAGTATAGATAAATCCAAAAAGCTTTAAAATATATATTACATCAGATAAAAGTTTGAGCATTCCAAAAAAGTTTTAAAATATCGGATAAAATTTGAGTATTTCAAGAGATCTCATTAGTCTATTTTATATATATATAAATGAAAAAAATAATGTTTTCTATTCCAACAAAACCGAAGGATGGGGCAACATAATCAAGTTTTAGAAAGATTGATATTTCTTGACCCTATATGATTAGATTCACTTCACGTTTATACGATTTTAATTCACAGATGATAATATTCATTTTCTGAATTTCTCCCAAATAAAACCCGTTTTGTATTTAAACTATATTACTTTTTTGTCTATGGAATTTACATTTCATTTACATAAAATTTACACATTTAAGCATTAATTTGGAGATTAAAAAGCATTTACAATTTATTTTGGTTAGCTCTCTGTATTTAATTTCTTTCTAATTCTTTGATCATTTAATGATATCCTTTAGTATTATTATATGTCAATTTCATTTTTCGGATTAGTAAATTTGTCAAAGCATTTCGATTTCTCTATCCAATGATATTTTTTTCCTTTTTGGTTTTGCTGTGTTATGAGATATATTTGAAGCAATGTTAATAAATTGCATATGGAAAAATGAGACTTTAGTTTTAGTACACAGTATTTTGGACAACTCGTTTGTATTATATTATTTTGGTAGTTCATTTACATGCGTATAATTTTTTTATATCATATATTTTTGTTTAATTATTTAAATTAATTAATTATTTTAAAATTATATATCATTTTTAGGAATGTATTTTAATTTTAAAAGGATAAATAAATTATATTAATTATTACAGATTTTTATAGACGAATTTAGAATTTCAGATTTAACAGATAATTAATCATTATTACTAGATTTTATCAGTATTTTATTTGTTAATTATGTTATTACATTTTAACTGACGTATTTGATTATTTTATTACAATGTAACAGTTAATGGATTTTTGGTTTCACACGCAATTTTTCTCATCCAAATCCTCAGCAACTAATAAAATCTACAATCAATTATTATGAAAGAATGCATCAACGAAGATCAAACAATCCACATCATATAATATTTTTTTTTATAGATAGAGAGAAAATATATATAAAAATATTATTTCATTTAATATGAATATTTTTAAATTTCAATTTAAACGATAATTTCGTAAAAAATTAAGAGACGGATGCTCTGTCGTGGAGACACTCTAACCATCAAAGGCTTTCACTTGAATCTCACTTCTGTGCTATTGCGAGGTGGAGAGAGCCCGAACTGATCAAAATTATATACGTCATCATGTGACATCACTGTCCACGTGGTGTCCAGCTGTTATCCATGTCATACTCCCAGAATTTGACGTGTCGTACACGTCACCTACCCGGTTAGTTGGTGGAACGACGTCGTTTTAGTCATTATTTTCTTCCCATCCGTCCTCCCTGTGTGCGCGAGATTCGTGTCCCCTTCGAGAGTTCTCCAATGGCGAAACCTTCACATATATGCTGAAACAACGCAATTTTAGTCTTTGAATCTCTCGTCCTCTCGTTCTATGCAAATTGGGTTCGTTGAATTTCTGCGTCTCTGTTGAAATATGCGTTCGAAAGACAAAATTTCGTACTTCTATGATGGTATTTACCTCTCTGATTTCTTCTTACTTCTCTGTAATAGTTCAGAATATTCTGTTGGGTTCCTTTGTTTGTGGTTGTTCATTGCGGCCTTAGAACCTTTTACATCTGCAAATCGTGCTTTGCGTCTATATTCATGGTTTATACACTTCCAAAGGTTAGATTTTTTTTTTCTCAATCGTTTTCAAGAAACGGCGAAGGGTATAATAAGTACGAAGATTTGTAGGATCCTGACAAGTTTCTATTGGGTCGAGCTCGGAGTAGGGTTTTGATGGAGGAAACAGGGGTTTTAGGTGGAATTTCCTCCTTTCGCTTCCATTATCTGAAATTTTGAGTTCAAAGAAGATACCCCCTAATTCTGGAAACGACTCTAGTACTACTGAATTGAACTCCTTTGATTATTTCGGTGAAGCTTTTGTGATATCGTTTGCCGAAACATGAAACCCTAGAACGGTTCTCATTACTGCCGCAGCCCCTATGCTCTAACCTTGCAGATAGTGCTAAAGGTTGTGGCTTTTTCTTTCTTGTTGATTATTAAACACTGCTTTCCATATGAAGGGAGCTCAATTTAATTGTTCTTGTTATCTTGGCAAAGCTTTTGCTGTAGAATGCGTGGATAGATGTTGTGGAAATTGTACTATATGGGTTTTCTAATGAGATTCTGATGGGTATTGATGTTACAGGGGATGTTGGGAGTGTCTATTTTGGTCCGAATCATCCTATGAAACCTCACCGGCTTTGTATGACCCATCATCTTATCCTTTCATATGGTCTACACGACAAAATGGAAATTTATGTCAGTCTCTTGCCTCTTTATTTCAATTTTTCTTTATTTTTTCCCATTTTATTTAGATTCTATGGATAGATCGATCTAAGTTGAGGTGTTATTTTTTTCGTTGATTCTTTCAGCGTCCACACAAGGCATATCCTGTTGAGATGGCCCAGTTCCATTCTCCCGACTATGTCGAGTTCCTGCAACGAATTAATCCAGGGAATGAGAATATATTTGCAAATGAAATGGCTAGATGTAAGAAAGCTATTCCTTCTTTAATTGGTCTGGTAATTTTTACGTGGCTTATCTTGTTATCAGAGAAGGAGAGGTTTGTTGCTTTGAAACTATTCTTATTCCCTTAAGTGTGTTATCCTCTGTGCAGACAATCTTGGAGAGGATTGTCCTGTCTTTGAGGACATGTTCGAGTTTTGTCAAATTTACGCTGGTGGGACAATAGGTAATTCATAATCCATGTAGGATCTACGTGTCCGGTATTAATTGTCCCTTTTGCATCCTTGTTCACTGACTAACATGTTCTGCTAGATGCTGCACGCAGATTAAACAACAAACTTTGTGACATTGCTATAAATTGGGCCGGTGGGTTACACCATGCCAAAAAGTGTGAGGCATCTGGGTTTTGTTACATCAACGATCTTGTGCTCGGAATACTGGAGCTCTTGAAACACCATGCCCGTGTTTTATACATAGATATAGATGTGCATCACGGTGACGGAGTGGAAGAAGCCTTTTACTTCACTGACAGGTAGGCTTATATACATATATATGTATGTATTATGTTTTATGGGAAAGGAGCTACATCAATCTTCTCTTGGACTCCGAAACTGATAATGAAAATTTTAATTTTATGGCAACAGGGTGATGACTGTTAGCTTTCACAAGTTTGGGGATAAGTTCTTTCCGGGAACGGGAGATGTTAAGGTAGTTTTCAGAACTTTGTTCCTGATGTTTTAAGAGTGTAATCAAATGGGTTTTTGTATAATTTTCTTCCAGGATTAGCATATCATTGTTTAGCTGTGCCGGTTGTTGCATATCGTTTCTCGTTATTTTCGTTCTCATCTTCATTCCAAACTCAGGCTGTCACTCTGAAATGTTTTCTTAACAAAGGAAATAGGAGAAAGAGAAGGCAAGTTTTATGCCATAAACGTTCCACTCAGGGATGGAATTGACGATAATAGTTTCAACCGTCTTTTCAGGACCGTAAGTATTATTACATCAGAAAATCAAATTTTGATGCTTTATATTTTTGTTTGATCTTGCCATGAAAACTATTTTTTTAAAAAGGTTCATTTTTTTTTGTAGATTATCTCCAAGGTTGTTGAGATGTATCAACCGGGTGCCATCGTTCTTCAGTGTGGGGCAGATTCACTCGCTAGAGATCGGCTAGGATGCTTTAATCTCTCTATCGACGGTGCGGATCTTCTTATAATCAAATCTCTTTCTCTCTCATCGTGCCGTTTTGCTCAAGTCTTTAGCTAGTTATTGGAGAAACTCTGGTCTGACGTCTGAGATGTTCTTCCATTCCTTTCAGGTCATTCTGAATGTGTTAAATTTGTGAAGAAATTCAATATTCCCTTACTGGTACTTCTCCAACTCATCTAGTGGTATATGCCCTTTTGGATGATATTCACTTATCCCGGTTCTTTTTAGGTTACTGGAGGTGGGGGATACACAAAGGAGAACGTTGCTCGGTGTTGGACCGTCGAGACCGGAGTTCTTTTAGATGCAGAGCTCTCCAATGGTAAGAGGAATATCATATTTTTTTCATATATATATCGATTTTTTAGATTATTTCTTTTAAATGAATCAAAAAACATGCATGGCATTGATGTGCAAAGTTGAGTTTCCTGCTTCGAGCTCTCAAAATTTCTATGCTTGGTTTATCATCTTTGGCAGAGATCCCCGAAAACGACTATATCAAGTATTTTGCACCGGATTTTTCGTTGAAGATCCCTGGTGGGCATATTATTGTATGGAAACTCTTCCGAGTTTGAACCTCTTGTTTTTTTGCTTCCATGCTTCAATCAAACCCTAAATGACCCGTTGAATCGGATCTGTCTTATCAGTTCTGTCCTGTTTTTATACCGGGTTTTTGTTGATCAAACAGGAGAATATGAATACAAAATCTTATATTAGCTCGATCAAAGTACAGATTCTGGAAAATCTACGTTACATCCAGCATGCTCCAAGCGTGCAGATGCAGGAGGTAACTCGTTGCTCTTTGTTGTTTTATAATTCATTGTTCTTCAGCTTTCTTGATTATATCGCTTCTATCGCTGTTTTCTTGGCACTGTAGGTTCCACCTGACTTCTACATTCCGGATTTCAATGAAGACGAACAAAACCCTGATGTTCGTGTGGACCGTAAGTATCCTAAACCCGAAAACCCTACATCCAGAATCCTTCCACTTTCTACAACTCATTTTCCTTGAAACTCTCTACCGCTTCTTCAGAGCGAGCACGGGACAAGCACATTCAACGGGACGACGAATATTTCGATGGAGACAATGATAATGACCCGTAGACCAAACACAGCGGCGAGAAAAAGGGCTCAGGTCATCATTTTCCGACTTATCCGATCGTCGAGGCAAAAAAAAATGGTGTAAGAGAATATTTTGGGAAAGCCGAAAGATGTCTCGTTTTAGTCCGGTTTTGTTGTAGGGTCTGTGTAACATGAAGCCTCTGAACCGATTTTAGAAGAGAACCCAAAATCCTATATGTACGCACCCTTGTTCGAATTCAAATGTATTGGATTATGAAACTGAAATCTCAAAATGTATCATTTGGTCGGATCAAGATCCAAACTTTATTATTAGTCTTGTGAGCATACATGAAATGGACAAAAGGGTCTACATAGATAATCAGATCAAAGATGTCTCAACACTATATTATGGCTATCAAGATCGAATAAACCAGAATCGAATTTCAATGTCTAATACTTACGAATACTTTGCGGCGGTGATCGAGAAGTTGGAGGGGTCGGGCCGCCGCATTTGTTCTTACAAGACTCGGCGCAGTTTCCTAAAGCAGGATCCGATTTGCCAAGGCACTTTTGGTCATAGCAAGTCCTATAACACTTGATCCATTTGTTCATGTCTTCTCCTCTTGTTGTTTCCATCGTTAGGACCACCAGCATCACCATTATCATACAACTGCTCCACTTTGCCATTAGTCAAGAACTCGCAACAATATTATACCAAATTTTAATTTTGATTTTTTGATTCTCTAAATGTGTTGTGTATTTAGTGTTGTGTTTCCTGATTTGGTTTCCTTGTCGGGTATGATTTGGTTTTGGCTTGTTCTTAAGGAGGTGATTATGGTAATTATTGTTGGATTTTTTTAATAAAAAAACAATGGGTTTTGAATTAAAAAATCATGTATTTTACAAAAAGATACCTATTTATTTTGAATTTTAAATTTGATAACATTTGAATTGATATTAATGAAAGATGTACCTTTTGTTTTGAAGTCCATATCACTTGGTGTAAAGAAACCATTACATTCGGACCCAAAAATGTTTTTGAATATGGACAATAATATTAAATATATATATAAAACATAAAAACCTAATAAAAATATATAGTTATAAAAATATTTACGTTCTGCAACTGATTTCTTTGTTTTTAAAAATCTATTCATAATAATTTTATTTATAATCATCTGAAATATATTTTTTCAACGAAATAAATTAGAAAATCACTCAAATTATCTAATATAAGATCTCCAATATTAGTCAAATTAGAAAACATGTTATCTTATATCAAATTATTCGATATAAAAATTAAATTCATATGAAAGATACATTTTTTTCCAAAGAACTAAAGTAATGAGATAAATCAAATCAATTTTACTAAATTTGACATGTTAAACTCACAAAATGAGTCAACATGATTCAAAGTTGTCATACAAATGAATAGTTTCGAATTAGCTCGTCAAATTGATTATTAAAATTTTTAACTTACAAATCTACAACAGTATAGAAATAATGTAGTCATGTAAATTGCTTATGTTTTTGTTTCCTTAAATTCACATAATAATTTTTTATATTGACAATTTCAATACGGTGTTTTAAAAAAAATACATATTATTTAAAAGAAAATCTTATCTAATATCTCTTTATTGTTATAATTTTTTATTTGTAAATTTTACCAATGAAATATAGAAACAGATAAATAAATAAAAAATAAAAAATGATTAAAATATAACCATAATAATTAAATAACTTTAGTTTGACTATTTTCTCTCTATGTTTTGTTAGAGAAAGATAATCAAAAGATTTAAAAAAATAGATAAAAAATAAGGAGTGAAAAAACGGCAACAACATAACCTAAAAAAAATAAACAAATAAAAGAGGAGAAAAAGGGTGGAGACCACAAAAAAAGTATTGGGGCATTTTTAAACTTTCAATTAAAATTTTATAAAATCTATAAATAAATTATTAGATAGATGGGGTATAGGACCCCACCCAATTAAACCGTAGGTCCGTCCCTGATTACATTAAAATTTTGGTGGAACAAACCTGTGAGTGTGAGTGTTGTTATAATATATCATATCAACAATTGATAGGGTACAAAATAGTATATAATGGTAAATCTCGACAAATACATCGTAGACATATATAATATCATTATATAATCGATGTCAAATAGTGTAATAATTATAACGTAAAATCTAAGAAAAAATTAGCAGATCTATTAAAAAAAGGTTTGAATCGAGATCAATTATACAAGTTATTCCTATGAGATTAAAATCTACGAATTGAAGAATGACTATAACGGTAACCCAATTTTGTTCAATATAGATTCCAAGATCTTGGTTTAATGAAAAAACTAAATTATGAAAGTTAAGTTGAGCATTTGTAAATAATTTCCATCTCTAATATCAGAACAAATTTTAATTTTGATATTTTGATTCTGTAAATGTGTTGTGTATCTATAGTGTTGTGTTTCTTAATTTGGTTTCCTTGTTGGGTATGATTTGATTTTGACTTGTTCTTAAGAAGGTGATTATGGTAATTATTGTTGGATTCAAAAAAATAAAGGGTTTTGAATGAAAGATCATGTAATTTACAAAAATATAGGGCTGGACGTTTCGGTTCGGTTCTTCGGAACCGGACCGAACCGAACCGAAAAAACGGTATTTTTTTGGATTCGAAACCGTTCTTAATTTCCGAACGGTACCATTTTTAGAGAACCGAATTTTCCCGAAACCAAATCGAACCGAATCGAACTTTAAAAATTCCGAAAAACCGAATATTTTTAAAGAAAATCTATCTTTTTTTTAACAAAACACGGCACCGAACCGAACTAATACCGAAACCGAACCGAACCGAATACAATATAAAAACCGATTGGTATCTATTTTTGTAAAACCGAAAGAACCGAACCGATCCATTCCCGTTCGGAACCCGAACCGTTTCCCGAAATGCCCACCCTACAAAAACATATATATTTCTTTTGGATTTTAAAATTGATAGCATTGGGATTGATATTAATCAAAGATGTACTTTTTCTTTTGAGTTTGATATCATGTGGTGTAAAGACACGATTATATTGAGATCATTGGTTCAAATTTTGAAAAGGAAAGGTACTTTTAAGTTTTATGTTTTAGTCAGTGGTTTAAAATTTGAAAACGTATTTTTTACACATAACTCGTAACATTTCTTTATTTTTCACATTCAAAAATCTTTCTTCGGAGTTTCGGACCAAAATTCACACCCCTATTTAATTTTACTATTTAATTCTACAATAACAATAATAATATGTTGTGTTTTTGTTAAAAAAATTATATCAATTTCTGTACCGTTGTAATAATATTTGGTATAATATTTCATCAAAAAAAATATTTGGTATAATAATGTTGTCTTGTGTTTCATGATTCGCAAATTGACCAATATCCACGTCTGAACGGATTGATTGGGGTTAGGCCCAATAACTTGGATATTGGGCCTTCCATTCACAAAGCATTACAGTTGTAATTGGGCTAAGATTTCATATTCGGCCCAAACATGGGTAATATAATATAGCCGTTCGGAGTGAAGACAACTGCCACTCTTCCTCCCTCTCTCACTCTCGGATGTGGAAGTTGGAGCGTCTCTGTGTTCAAGCAAAGCTCTTCTCGACGAAATATAGGGTTTTGAGTTTGGGGTAGAGAAGAAGATAATGGGGGATTCAGAGAATGGAAGCGCGACTGCGATGATGAAATCGGCTGCCAAAATGTGAGTGAGTGGTATATGCATAGACGTAATGTTACTTTTTGGCACGGGTTTTGCATGTTCGCGATCTTCCCTTTGTTTTTTGAGGTTTAGGGTTTTAGAACTTGCGCTATGAAAACGATCGATGTAATCGAGATCTAAACGGGTAGCTGATCAAACTCTACAGCTTGAAAAATGGTTGATCAAGTAAAAGACGTTGATTCGGCTGTTGTATCGCATGTGGAGGAGCTCTCCAGCTTGGTCGAACGCGAAGCGCGAGTACGACATGATAACTGAAAAGCCATGCCATCTTCTGATGGATCGGCGTGAGGATAGATGTAGTTTAAAGTCCATTATCTCCAGTGTCACTGAGCTGTTGGATCGGAGAGCGAAGGGTTGGTTTAACAAGATTACAAGTGACAAGTTTGTGGTGGATTACGATCTCAGGTTCAACCTGGACAGGGAACCCACCGGCGGTGTTGAGTGTGTTAGCGTCTCCGGACAAGTACACTGGGAGAAAAAAAACGTGTGTGTTCAATTGGGCGTCGGAATTGGAAAGGATGTAATTGCTCCGGCTGAGTTGAAGAACATTGTTCGTGGAGGGATGATGCGTGACCACAACAAGTTTTCAGGTTTGGTCAGGATGAATCTCGACATGGCTTGGGGAGGAGGAAGTTACTGAATCTGTACCGTGTTTTCCAATCTGGCGATGCGTTCAAGATAAAACAACTCGTCTTGTGAAGGGTTGTCTCCTGTATCTAGACCACTTGGAGAAGGGGCAGACGACATACCATGGGTTGGAACATTGATGGGTCGCTTATGATGTGGACTCTTTGATTGAGAACTGGAGTTCAATAACTCAGCGTTTGTGTCTACATTCGATGAGATATTGAATGCCACCAATGCGATCCTGCATGCTGTGTTCTGAGTATCAGCATCCTGTGATGTGTGGGTGCAAAAATGTAAGAACACCTGTTGATGTCGAACATCTGGGCTTGTTTAGTGAGGTATGTAGATGAGTTCAATCTCGGGTCAGACTTAGACTCGGCATTGGCCATAGCCTGCACTCTGTGCGAGAATAGGTATTTGTCAAAGGTATTTTTGCCCAATGTTATTAGTATGTGTGACTTAATATACCCAGCATTAACTAAGATGTAGGATGCACTGTATGAGAAAACAATGGTGAATCTTGACACAACAGTGATGTTGGGTAGGGTACACCAAATGCTCAGCCTGGTCCTGTTTAGAGACTTGGACACAAGTTTGTGGAACACGACAAGAGGTACATTCGAGTTTAACAATTATGTCCGCTCAGAGCTGCACAGGGTTAAAATGCCTACCGAGGAGTACTTTGGACATAAAGGAGCTGCTGATCTGCTGAGGTTAACCGGAGAGAAGATGATGTGGTTGAGGAAGATCTGATGGATGTGATGCTCTAGGATGATCATACGATATGAGAACTATGTATGATACGATGTATTTATTGGATGAATGCATTGTTTGTTCATTATTTATTTTGCATATTTGATAAATAATGATATCCATAGATCGTTATGAACGATCCTAAATTTCTTAGTCGCTTGTCATTGTGGGAGCAATGATGAATTAAGACTAACATGAGA